TGAGATGCTTTCTTAGGCACCACAAATATTAAATGAGCAAATTACGCTGACCTAAGGTCAGGTATGATGTTCAGACCAATTTCAAAACCAATCTGATTTATTACTCTAGGGCTTGCTGTATGGGATAGTTTCTGGAGCTCATTTCGAATTTATTGACGGCAGGAACCGCCTTATACATCTTTAATTGACTTCTTAGAGGTCAGAACATACCATTGACCTAAGATGACCCGGATCGAACGTTTCGTTTTAGGAACATACTGCCTAGTGTAATCTTTGTCGCTTGTTCAAATGAAAACGCAGAGCAGTCTTGTATCATTTTGGTCATTATGACATTCAAGGCGTCAAACAAGGTCAATGACCCCAAATGGGCTTGTGACCTTTTCCTTAGATACAGTTGCCTAGGTTCTGGGGGCGCTTTGGAGACCAACCTGGAGTTTGACCTTGTTTGACCTTATTCAACCTGAAGGGCATGACCTAGGAAGCTGAAACCTTAACCTAAGTGAGTTTGCGTATAGGTCAAGACACCCTGTAAATTTGGTGTCTCTAGCTTTCTTAGTTCACGAGATCTCAGAGAGGGGTTCAAATTGACCCCCCACACCCGAGGGAAGGGTGTGTAGCCGGCCAACCGGGACCGTGTTAAAACATAATAATTTCATGACAGTATTATGAGCACAACAAATTATTAACACCAATAATTTGATGCTGCACTTTTCAATTCCCCTCCACAGCACCTTTAAAGCAAAATAAAGCAAAGGAATTCAATAACAATATAACAACAGAAAATTAAACAAGCATAAAACACTCAAACAAAAAAAAAAACATTAGACTCCTACACATCAGCCCATCCTCACGTCAAACACAATAGACATACTTCTGGCTTCTGTTAAGGTAGGGTCAGGGAAAACAAACATTTTGTCACTGTTTCTCACAAAATACCAATGCTTATTTCCATGAAAGTAGCCTATGCCTAGCCTAAAGAGGCCGTACATCATGTCATCCTGTATAACCAACTTGTATCACAGCAGCAGTTGTGAGTAACTGATTCTTGCATAATTGCTATTGCCACTTGCCATGCAATTGACCAGCTTGCCCTAACTTAGAGTAGCCCATATAATAAACATCACCTCAACTCACCTATCTGCTGGCAGTAGCACCTGTGATAAAAACATGATATTTAAAGCTAGTTTTTGGCTGGTTTCAGCCTGTATTTATATTCAGTTCATTTGTGCATGCTTGTTGACATGGAACAAAGTTGACAATGTGCAAATCAAAACACTTAAAATCACTTTGAACAACTTATTTTAACTGTCATGGTTAGCCTATGTCAAGGGCAATAATGGGTATACTCCACAAAAAAATCTCTTCTCCAAAATAACATAACTTTTAGCTGACCATGCCAGTATTGCTGCTTGTCCTTTTCAGCTGCAGCAAATGCATTCATTTGGGCTTCCTTATTCATATTTAATGACAAAGTTTGAGATGTTGGCTTCACATTTCAAATGGGGGGTCTGACCATTTGTTACATACCAATATCTAACTCATGTTATAATTGCTAAGCACCCTAGAGTATCCCTGTGTTAAAAATATAGTGCATATATACAGTAGTCATTTGCCGGGCAGCAAACCATGACAACTATAGCAAACATCTGGTTAAAGCAGCCATGAGGGAACAATTTTAGAAATTTGGGGCAAATAACCAAGAATATGAAACAAAATAAGCCCATTGCATGCCTTGTGGTATCATATTTAGTCTTGTGGCAAAACTCGATGCGTTAAAACAGAAAATGGCTAGGTCTGGTTACCAATCATGTGTTGAACGCAGGTAAGGTAAGCAATTACTTGGTCCACAGGAGATTTGCCGGTTTCTTCCTGCTCCCCAAAAACAAAAATTCAGTACCTTTTGCATGGTCTGCTAGCAGACAGAGTCATCCGACTCACCTCCCAAATATAAATATCAATCATGTCCACCAACCTTCGCGATTAAAATCTGAAAAAAGTAAGAGGTGCGCATGATAAACATCTCCAGGGGGCAGAATTTGGCCATCAAACACTTCTGTATTAGCTGCGTCAGGTCTGTCCCAGGGCTCTATGTGGCAGCATATTCTAATGCTGCCATACAGAGGCAGCATTCGGCAGGGCCATTCTAAGCCTTGCCAGGTAGTCTGGTAAGTCAGACACTCGAAAAGCTTGGATTTATCCTTATCAAGCACCGCCACGAACAAAAAAAAAACAGTTAACCGAAGGTTTAAGAGGGCAAAAATGGCGTTAAAAATAAGTTCCGCGCTTCAAATTGTCTCCTTCATTCCCTGTAAATTGTTCACGCTTGGGTGTATATAAAAAAATGTTTGGGCGGCTGGCGAATTAATGCAACTTATGTATGAAATACGTACAAGCTTGCAGTTGGAACATCCTGCGGAGAAATTGGTCAACATTTTAAGCAGCAGATGGTACCTCTAAAGACAATCGAAAAGAAAGAAAGAAAAAAGTGGTATCACACTGGTATGATACCAAGAAAAACATAAGTAGCTAAATAAACAGAAAGACTGGTACTTTTCTCGAAAAATTTTGTGATCAGCTGACTTAGCTTAAAATCTGTTAATATGAGTGCTCAAATGGTGAAATTCATCTCGTACTTTTAATTTAAAAGATATTTCTTGAACTTTTCACTCATGCATTTCGGGGGTGATGCAATTTAGTGGTCAAGATTCTTTGGGGAAAAAAACGTAGAGTAAAATTCTCCACCAGGCCTCGCCGGTGTTTGCTCCAGGCTCTGCCTTCGTGGTGTGGTAGTGAGACCAAAAGATAGAGGATGTGTGAAACCCTTGCATTTGGCGCACAGCTGCAGATTGTGATGCATTTTGTAAACAAACTAAACTTAATGCGTGCAAGCGGCTGCGGTCGCTGGGGTTCTTGGGCTTGGAGGTACCTGGCGCCCTTGCTCTGTGCATACATAGACATGATTCAGATGTAGGTGAGGCACGACATAGCCATAGATGTCCAGGTTCTGCGGAGCCTCGTTTATGCTTGGTGGTTTCAAGTGACCTCGGTTTTGGATGACAGCTGAAAACCTCAGAAAGGGAAATAGGGGTTTGGCATGTGTGATTAGACAATGTCAGGCAGGAGTGAAAAATGATACCTTTAAAAAAATTATACCTTTACTTACTTTTTCCCACATAAAATATGGGGAAAAGGAATGACAAATTCCTCCTCATAGGGCGTTGCTTTACACCCAAAGTCGGCAATGCTAGGACACTAGCGGTAAATGTAGCTGGGAGTTCCCCACGACAAGAGATGCCCAAGAACATCCTACCCAGAATGACCACGGTAACACCAGAGATAGCAACCCATAGACTACGCCGAGCCGAATGAATGTGGCCCTCGATCAACGCTCAACTTTTAAGAAAATGCGGTAAATCTTGTCTTGGTGACCTTGACGTTGCAAGGGCTTAACATCTCTGATAAAGCGCACCTGTCAAATATTTTGTATTGATCGTAATCATGAGGTCAATATTTATCAGTATGCGGAGTCTGGAAAGGATTACAGTAGTCAGACACTCATATTGGGGATTTTCATCCTGGTCCCTCCCGACAATAGAGCGTACCGATCCAAGATTTTATGCTCACTATGCTGAGAAAAATACGCTACATGTATTCAGAAATTTTCAGTCCAATCTAAGGAGCCGCTGAACGTCGAACATGAATCTGAGTCAAGGATGAAGTAAACGTGATCCATGCCTCATTATACTATACCTTAGCAGTCTTGGCATTTGAAAAGCTATAACTCCTTTGATACAGCGTACCGGCCCAATATTTTGTGTGTATCGTAACCAGCAGGCTAATACGTACCAACACATGGATTTTGGAAATAATTAAAGCAATCCGCACATTTTATTGTGATCTTTTTTTTCGTGATATATCCAGCAATAGGACGTACCGGTCCGAGATTTTGTGCTCATTGTTCTCAGATCAAACTTCATTTGTATAGAAATTTTCAGGCCAATTTGAGGCATCCGCTGAATATCGAATATGAAACTGAGTTATGCATGATAAAATGCAATGCGTGCTGTATTCGCGACCTTGACATTAAAGAGCTATAACTTTTTTGATACAGCGTACCGGCCCAAGATCTTGTGTTTATCTTTACCAGGTTAATATCTACCAGCACGCCGAGTTTAGAAGGAACTGAAGGAGTCCGCGATTTTTATTATGATCTGTCATATTGATATATCTCCGGTAATAGGGCGTACCGGTCGGAGATATTGTACTCATTGCGCTCAGGAGGTTTAAGTGCATCTGTATGCACGGTTTCAGGCCAATTTGAGGAGCCCGCTAAATCCCGAATATGGACCTGAATCTGAATGTGAATGTGGTGCCAACTTGACGAACGTAGTTCTGGCGCTTGTCAAATTCCCTCCCCCCCCCGCCCCCCATTCGAGCGGAGGGCGTCCAACCGGCCGTCTGGGTGCGTCAACAGCCGACCGACGTATGGCCGACGCCGAGGACGAACACAACAGAACATGAACTGCGCATGAATAGGCTGGCAACAGTTAATCATGCCGTAACGTAACGATATTTCTTTTTGACGTCAGCATTGTCTTATGCTTACTGTCTGATTGGAGCTCTGTTTTTACCATCCTGACCTTTCATTTCACTCCTTTCTTCCAACCTAGATGGGTCGGTTTGATCAGGCCGTGTGCTTTGTGTGCGCACTCTCTTACGTCTGGGACGACCAAGCGGCCAGCCATACAGCTGAGCTGAGCACCAATGAACCTAGAACTCGAACACTTAAAAGCTGCATAACTAGGCAACGCGTAGCAAACGCCTCCCACAATCGCCGGTTCCAATGAATGAAACCAAGCGAACACAGTTCTTTCAGATCTCTGAAGCCGCAGCTGAGTGGGAGTCGCCGCTCTCGCTTTCCCGGCACTCCACTAAGTCGGTCACTGTCCGGAACAACATCCACGAAAGCAGGCGAACGCGACCTAGGAGAAAGAAATCCGTTCCCTGTATTAATGGCAACAATGTATTCCAGCAACGTTTGTGCGGCACATACCAATAAAAGCTAATTTCAGTTAAACAATGTGTGCATGCCACAAGTAAAAGGAATTATTCATAGGCATTACGGGAAAATGTTAAGAGACAACTCTTACCAAACCAAGGATTCAAAAGCTTTGTTACATGGACTTTAAGTGAGAGCGCAAAAAATGAACGTCTGATGTGAGGAAAACAGGACCGCTTCAGTTTCAAATACAGTTCACAACGTAGCCCCGGCGGCTTTGGCCGCCTGTCGCTTCTTCACATCCCAGTTGTAGACACGCGCCATATTGACCTCAACGGTCGTGAACTGGTCCCTGAGGAAGTCCAGATCGTGATCCACTTGGCTCAAATTCTTCTGTGCGTTGTTTAGGTTCTCTGACAGCAGTGTGTTGGCGTCATCCAAAGAGTATTCCAACATGACGTTCGCACCAAGCCACAGGCACACTGAGTCTGATGGTTTCGATTCAGCCTTCGCGTATACTTGGTCCGACAGTAAGAAATGGGAGGATATTACGCCTTCCGTGCCTTTCTGTTCCTGCATCTGACGAACTATCTTCAATGATCCTTCAATATCCGGAATTTGAGATTTCAGCCTTTTTCTCTTGGATGTGAGGTTGAGCTCCATAAACTTATACTTTTGATGTTGTTCTTCAAGCTGCTTCAAGATCTTCTCCACTGTAACATCTGAGCCCTGCTCCTTCATAAAACTGTCAACATCTTCCAGAAATTGAGCCTCTGGTATGCCGGCAAAAGACTTCGGTGTTTTCTGATCACCTGACATGTCACCTCGTCAGTATCTCTCGTAAGACTCAATATGCTCTGAGTAACTCAGGAATCAACCTGCACCTGGAACAACCAAAAGGAAGCATAAGACATGAGCATGGCGCTAGGCAGCTATGCACACTCAGCCAGGTCTCAGGTCCTCGAGCACTCCTAGAGACCTGGCAACATCTCCGACTGGGTTTCTACACCCTAAATACTTTGGTAAACGGATTCCCAGACCCCACTCGCAATTCGTAACTGAGCGAGTCATAAGTGCTTCCTCCGCTCTGCGAGCTTTTGTTTTCGACTGATTGACTGCACTCGTCGCTCTCCGTGCCCGTTTCTGGGGCCGGCTGCGATACCACTGGTTCCACAACTCCCTAGAATTATCAATTCCGGAAGGAAGTGACTACACGCCAAACTACTATAGTAAGCCATGACCGTGTCAGCTATCGACCACTAAATCATAACTTGACCACTTTGCCAGCACAGGAAGCAGTCGAATAAAACGCGCTCAGATTTCTGTGAACAGCACGGCTGACTACAGGCCTACGGCTGCAGTCGATTAGGAAAAGTCATCATCGCGCTTAGACATATAGCATGTCATGGGTTTAAGAACCCCAGCCCATATATACTTATGTAGAATAGCAGTAGAAAAAGAAAGCGTGAGTCTGAAGTTTAATTGAAGCGCCGTTGTCGTTACCGAAACACCCAGCGAAAATGATGCTGTTTTGTTGCACGGCCTCACGCCACCAATACCATGCCGTTCCTGAACACTGTAATTCCTGTGCGACATGTAAGGTCTCCACTACCGGGCGAGTCAAAGGTCTCTGACGAAACGCACGCCAGCGTGCACTGCTGCTTGCGGGAAGCCATGCTGATTACCATGAGGCGGACCGGCAGTACCACGCAGCAGTGCGGCGAGACCACGCAGTGTATTCTGCCGGAAAACTTAGCGAACCCGGTATCCATAAGATGAGGTGCGTGCCCTACGCCGGGAGTGTCAAAGGGGTCAATAGCTTAATGCCCCACCCCGACATCGTCCAAGTTGAGGCAAAAAATGACAACTTTCCGAAGGTTGAAGAAAGTCCAGACAACTTTGACAATCATAACTCTTTGAAGAGAGTCTACGATGTCTCATTAAGCCATGGCAAGCGAAATCCGATGAGGTCTTTTTTTGTTTGAAAACATGGACATTAAAAAACCGTCATCCAAGCCAGGGTCGCCATCCCGTTCTTCCCAGTCTTATGCCACGTTCATCAACCCATCACGTACCAACCCAAAACGGCGTTCCAGATCCGCCTAGCCATTTCCTCTGAACAACCAGCCAGTACCATACCTCACTGTTCTCCAGATCGTTAAACGAGCAATACGCGAATGCAGATTTCAGGACGGCGGAAGCCTAAGTCATACCCTTGGCTGAACGACCTGTCACTTCGCCGCGCATGCTGTAGACCTACTTTAAATTACAGCTGGGGTCCTATGGTGTACTGCCATAGTGCACGCCATCATTATTCACGGAGCTGTGACGTAACATGACGCATTTACTGATGCCCCGCACGGTTCCAGGCGCCACTAGTCAATCAAAACCTCTTTGGCGGCGCTAACCGACAATATTTACCGAACAATGGATTGCCGAGAACTAGCTATGATTGTCATGTTGCATGTATCTAAATGTCTAAATGCCATATATCACAAGCGCCGTTTGGAGAAACTACGTCCCTGCAACATCAATGTAGTTTGCTCCAAACTAACTACGTGGGGATACCCAACAGACCCCGGCAAATAAATGAATATCGTGATATTATACTCAAAATCACTCCCAATACCTTTCGTGGCTTTCCAGGAAGGATCCCTGAACTCTCGCCCCTCAAGCAACTTTCGCAGACGAAATGAGCCTACAAATACCTCCCAGCACTGTCCTTGAGTGGGATTTGTCCGTGGACGACAGCGTGACAGGCAGCTTAGTCACTGCACTGCAAAGTCCCCTCGCTGCACTTCATAGCTGGTTTGGTGCAAACACCTCGAGAGTTAACGGGAATGCCCCACATTTCTATGGGGTATTTAACTGAAATAGCCATCTTGAAGATTTTTCGGTGCAGTTCACGTGCCCTGCCCTTCTTAAGACCTGAACCCATTTGAATCTGAGCAAAGCGACCGCAAACATGGGGAACTACGTCGGGTAGACCATTTCATGATCACTCAAGCATCCATGATGCCATCATAACGTCATTCGCATCTTACCATTCCATTTTCCAGATATAACGGCCAATAATTGGCTCTCAATCAATGTTGTGCCAGGTACGATGGCGTAACCAAACAATGACGCATCGAGAAACATATTAAGTGAACAGAGAAATTGTGTTGTCTAGGGCAGTCTTTTCTACTTCAAAGTGTAACAATAATTGTAAGTGAGCTTATTTATTCATATTGTATGCTTCCATCAAAATAATCAAATGTAAAACGTTTCCTTAAACACTTCCAAAACCCAAGACAGTTTTTGGAACGCGTACCATGCCATGTCACGCGACATGCGGTAGTTTTCTTGAGAACCGCACAGAGAACCGCAGACACTACACGCAAGTCCACGACGATCCAGAACCCTGGCTTTTCATAAATAAGCCTTGATTTCTAAATACCTTGATGACTTTGTAGTACCTATTGTCGAGTTTTTATTAGCAATGATCCATGCTCGGGCACGGAATTCCCCCTCATACGATCAGGCCTATCGTGACGTCACTCGTCGTTCTTGCGTTCCGCTACTGTATGAACATTCACGGGACCCACTCGAACATTGTTCAAAAAGGTCATCCTGGAGCCCTCACAGACAACCTTATTAAAATGCGAACATGACCGCGTAACCTGAACTGCACAAATGTTCCGTCTTCCCAGAACATGAAGTGAGACGACTATAGGTAGAAGGCGACTTCTGAATAGCAGCGTACGCTAGTGCAGCTTCCTTTGTCGTAAGATGGCTTGTTGTTGTTGTTCATTTGTGTTTTCGGGCGCGTCGACTGCGCCCAGCCGTCAGATGGCGTCAGCCAATGACAGTCACGACGTCTTTCGCCCAAGCACGACACGCTTTTTGTTACCCGAACATGGTGAGCGGCATACAGGCTAGCTTACGTCTACTCCCACATACACATAACATCTGGTCTTCTTCATTCTTGTTCCCAGTAAAAGGACTGTTCCATATTTCTGTGGGGTTTGAAATGAGATAGCCATTTCAAGATCATTACCTAAAGTTCAGAGCCATGCCCTCTTCAGGACTTTAAAAGCCTTTCTTCTAAGCTTGACGAACGCACACTTATGCAAACATCTCCCGCCGCCCATCTGAATGTTACCCAGAGATGTATGATGTCGTGCAAACAGAACACGAATATCATCACCTCATTGGTTACACTGTGCTTATGGTTTAGCAAACTATTCGCCGCAATATTTGTACATGAGGTGTGATCCAGCACCAATTGCTGGTAATACAGAATGTATGCAGCTGACTACCGTCATTCGGGGTAACTTTAGTCTTCAGGGTAATTTTAGCCAAACTGTGGTTCAGACCATCATGTGCATCATGTGCATGTTATGTCTCAAAGTGGGGGTTATAAACTTAACCAGCGTGAGTTACATCCTTATAAGACTAATTTGTAGCTGAACAGCAGTAATTTTGCCAATCAGAAATCATTGTTTTGCGGCTTCAAACACTCCTCAAATTTCCTAAAAAGAATGAGGTGAATTTGATGGTACCCCTAGACAAGTAGCTAGAGCTACTTGTCTAGACAAGACGCTTGTCTAGAGCTACCTAGAGAAGAGCTAACACAGCAAAAGTAAGCATTTCCGCACAACCTTTTAAGCCTCTGCTGTCGTTGTCCATTTAGTATTACACGATTTGTTGGTTCCTTTTTACTGGAGCTGCGACTTAAGGTGAGGAGGGGTGGCTAAAGTTGGTATCATGCAAACTTTAGCCACCCCTGTTTCCTTACATGGGACCCTAGGAGGTGTGATATGAGTCATTAAACAGTGGATGCACAAGTGAAACTCTACATAATGCTCTACATAACTTTTCCATATTTTTTTTAGTGTCATGACCTTTCCTCATCCATGCATTTCTGTTCCAGGTCAAAGCCTAGTCCATAAGGTATCCTGATTTGTGCCATGCCTCATCCTTGTCCCTATAGAAATTATATTGTTATATTTCTATTATACTATATTATATCATAATATAATTATAGTTAGTTCTATTGTCATATAATTATGTTGTTATACCATATCTAATTGTTATAACCTATATAATGATATTGTTATTGTTAAATGTGAGTAAGACAGACAGTAATTCTGTTGTTTGTACTTCAAGTTTCAAAGGTTACAGGTTCAGTTTCAAGTTAGCTGATCCAGGTTTCTGGTAGAACATTTGTGGCAGCTTGTGACATTGAGGCTCAATGTCATGAATAATACACAGCAGATTGAATCCTGATGTTGGTCATAATTTTTAAAAACTTTTTCACTAGCTAAAGTTTAACAGATCTGACCTATCTTAGGCCATTGTCCAGACATTTTCGTGAATCCTGATAGGTGACTTTGGGTGGCTTAAGTTAGTTGGGATCCGATTAACTTAAGCCACCACATATTTTTTTTTAATCAACATTCAACAAGCAGAGCCAACAACCTGTGCATACCAAGCAAAAGAACCCATCTCTCCACTAGTTTTCCAACCAATAACTTAAACCTGCTGGTCCCAACAAAAGAAGGAGGCATAAAAAATATCCAAAAATATGCTAAAGTTACCCTGATTGATGGTATAAGTCATGTTAAGCTGCTCATTTCAACCATAAAGCACATTTTGTGACAAATTTCACAGGTATCTGGGCTACAACTAGTTTTAATGGACCTGAAACTAATAATTTTAGCACCTCAGAATGGCACCATAACAGGAAATGCAAACACAAGTGAAAAACATGAAACCACAGAGAAATACCTAATATTACCTCAAGAAAAGGCCAGAACACACACTTGCTCTGGCAGCATGAATTTACAAAAAAAAAACACCAATGCCACCTTCTGGTCCTTCAAAGTATCAGATATTAGTCACAAAATCTGCTACAGCAACTCTGACATGGTCAGCCTGGCAGCGGCTCCGGATGTCACAGAAACATTCTATGACATAACCAAAGACTATGTATTGAGGAGCATATTTGCCAGACTTTTTTGGGCAGACTTTCATACTTAAATGCATACCTGTAGTTACAGGTGAGTTTTCCATCATATCTGATGCTTCCCTCAACATCCTGAAATGTTGAATGATTCCTTCAACATCAGTGCCTGTGTAACAATGCACTTGTGTGTGAGTGTCGCTATATTATATCCTTATGAATGTTAAGTCATTTCACATTTTCCTTTGTGCTGGCTTGTGTACATGAAAGGTCATCTATGTTCACTGTTCAGCTTAGATGGATATCATAACCTCTTAAGACTTTCAAAAACCCACTAAACTGAATGGTTAGGACCGGAAGTCGCTGTCACGTTATGCAAATGAACTATTAGAACCGGCGATCGCCATCGCTTTACCCAAATGCCCGCAATTCTAGTGCAGAGGGGTGTCAGCGGGAACCACTAATTTGATTGATTCATCAGTACATGCTTTAATTAGTTATCCTTTCATCACTCATCAGATGTGAACATATCATTAGAACATGCCCTTAACCAGCTGCAGATGATATCACAAGAAACAAGAGCACATGGCCAGTGTTTAGGGGTGTAACAAGTCATATTGCAAGGCTAAAATGCCCCAAAATAGTGACCTACAACAGAACAAGTACTCCAAACCATGGTGCTTTAAATAAGAATTAGATAGCATCAATATAAGCTGAAAAAAATCTGATCTCTATGCGTTTTGCATACCACTGGTTGACCTACATCCTGGTTTAATATATCAAATATGGAATTTACAGAGCTGTGTATGGCAGCTATTGATGGCTTTAGTGGAATAAAAATGCTGCATTTCACTGTCAATAGTTGGCATTGTCAACATCAACAGCTGTCAAACATGGCTGTGTTTAGGCAGATGCAGCCAGCATGAAAGGAGAGGGTGGGAGCCCCCTCCTGTGTGTATTTTGTTTCGCTATAGTTGGCTCCTGACAGAACAGAAAAGTTGTTGAGATGAGTTTTTGCAAGTCCTTCCTCTTCTCCCCAAAAAATCCCTGCTGAGCTGTTAGATGATTCTACATTCAACTTGACAATATCACTGTCAACAAACAAAACATGTGGTGCCTAGCTAGTGTTTCAGTTTTGAGATAACTTTAACAGCTAACTAAAGGCAGTTGACTTTGTTCAAGTGACGTGCTCATGTGACCAGTGCTTCGAGGCTGAGCGTGCCTCCAACCTCACATGTCCATTTACAAATCCAAGCCCAGGTACAGTGCAGTGTTTCTCATAACATCACTGTCAAAGGCAACCAGTCATATATTAGTCCAATGACATCATCAGAACTGTGAATGTGTGTAATTAGGATGGTTTACACAGAACTTGAAAGATATAGCATGAGCTGGCTTTTGATCCTAATAGAAGACCTCTGTGAAGGGGCTTTTCACATAGGTATAGGTTTTGGTTTAGAATAGGTCTTGAAGAGACTTATCAGCCAAAAGGAAAAGATCAAAACTGCCTACCACCCTAATTCTAGTGTGCATGTGTATGTCTGTGTGCATGTGACCACTTCCATGTCAAGTTTATGCATGAAATGTGCAGCTCCCACAAAATATGTGGGAAAGGATGCCAAGTGAACAAAATAGCTCAACCCACCATCAAACCATAAATAAACAGGTTGTTACCAAAACTACACACACTTCTTTGTAGAAGTTTGGGGGAACTAGAGCTCCCAACTGCACAGATGTTACACATGTGGCATACCTGCAAGCAGTGTCTGAGACTTCAGTGTTTCTTGGTGTTTTTAGCCCCAAGACATTTTGTTCTCCACAAATATACACTGGAAAGCATTTAAAAAATTGTTCTCTGTGTGCAATGTCAGATGGAGGCAAGCTGTTCCAGCAACTTTGACAGCATTGTGCACCACACTCATGACTGAATGAGGGATACTGCTTGTGGGTTACAGCCAAATCTCTCTACCATATCCCACATAATCTTTCCTCACAATGCATTCAGTGCCCAGGTCTGTTGCCGCTCACCAGCACATGTTTAACTCACCTGCCGTCCAGCGACACCAACGTGCCCATACACCACCAATATTTTTAACAAAATCAATATGGTTCTAAAAAGCAGTATCAAAACCTGTTGGGACTGACATCTTTACAATAGAATTATTAATATCAACAACTTTCTATCAGCTCCATAGCTTAAAAAATACAGTAGGTGCAGGCATAGACTTAAGAAGAAGGCACTTACTTGGGAAGCTAGAAAATTTAAGAATTGCAAGCAGTCAATTTCTAATGGTCTTTGGCAATCACTGAGACCAGCTTAAGCATGGTGTTTACTGTCATCTGCTGCCAAAGAATGTCCTGTACTGCTGGCTGTGAATGTATTGCAAATTCACTTGGGTTATTTTGTTCTCACTACAAGCTGTGATTTTAATATTTTTGTTCTCTCCCCCCAAGAGCCAAAACCAAATCTCAGATGCTGCCTGCAAGTGTTCAAGATATCCATCTATACAAGGAGATGCAAAAAAGAGTTCCACCCTATCAGAAAAACATCACATTCCAGCAACACCACATAAAGGTAGAACATTAAGTGATTATCATAGAGGGAACATTTCAGAGACCGTCCCAGCCGGCAGATACCAGTTACCCTTGTTTAAACGATGCTCCTGTGCGCAAATGGAAAAAAGAGACAGACCAATGGAACAAATCTCTGAAAGACATACATAGCACAAAAACAGCACGCTGCTACAACGCAAGCCTATTTGTAAGACCAAAACGCCACCATTTCCACCGACCCCACTCACCCCGCCCAAATCCGCGCACACATTAGGCACTTCAAGCCCCTGCATTACTGCATTCTGGGTAACGGTGTTGTGACGTCATCACGGGACTAATTCATATGGCACCAACTCTATGGCGGCGTGAAAATGTTGTTCTTTGCGGGCTGGTTTAAACATAAATATGTCCAAAACCCAAATTTGTTTGATCCAGGTCATCTAATGAACCATTTTCAGCTGGAAGATGTCGTTGGTTTCCCACATAGCCACAAAATTATTGCTAAAATGCGCTTCCAGCCTGCCCCCGACAGACAGATGGTGTAACCCATTGACCAGTGATTTATCCCGATGAACTCTAGCCGGTGCGCTTAGAAACAGTGTGATAAAGAGTACAACATGCAACAGCAACAACATTGGATGAAAATGAGATCCGGCGATCCCGATGGGATCGCAGCACCCTAGGACGCGCACTGGGAAGTTGGAATGCACATCCTGTAGCCTTAGGGAGGGCGTTGTCAGGGTGGACGCAGGGTTGGCCTGCCCTTATGGGGTTAGAGAGTGGTGAACCCGGGGTTTAAATGCAGCGCGCGCTAGATCAAATCGAGATAGCGGAATTTTCCTGTAAATAGGCCGATTTCTGGCAAGTTTAGTATTTTTTTGCCAGTCAAAGAGTCTAGGCCCATATCTCAGCCCGAAATAGACTACTAGGGATATTATATGGTGGTAGGTGTGGTAGCCCAGCGAATTACGGCAGTGTTTTAACATGTTCCGCTGCGCCGTTGAAGAATTCATGAGTGTGTTGCAACGCGCCAAGCGACGCGTATCGCATCGTGCCCAAAGCCTGTCCAGCCAATGAACTCCCATCGTTATGCACTGAGCGTGTGTGCAACAAGATTGGCGGTGAGGATATTAATTTTGATTTGGTATTTTCACGCTTAATTGCCCGCCATAAGTTTTATGTGATATGCGCGCGCTCTCACCGGTATCAGAAGACTGGCGTCCCGGTAGCCGCTGACCGCGGCGGCAGGTCGGCCGCGGAGGCGCGCGCACCAGTAACGCAATACACCACACTCTCCCCTCTTCAGCTTGCGAGTCCATCGGTGTTCACCCCCCTCCCCCCCCCCCCACACCGTGCAGACTACACAATCCATTCACCGTATCGTTCAGGAGGACGACCTCGCCTCTCACTGCGACGACGGTGGGGGATTACTCGCGCTTCAGTGGAGCGATCAACCATCACCTCAGTTTCTTCAAAATGTCTCTCGGCATTTTCGGGCTCGTCATTTTTAGACTCCGAGCCATTTTCTGAGTCCCACATCCCTTGATTCTAAGTCAACGCTGGCCATCTGTCCGCGTCATTTGTCACCTCCTCATCCGCCTCTGTCACCTGATCCCTGTCACCCTTGCTCGTCAGATGCGGCTGCCTTCTTCCCACAGGTTTCAACTGATCGAAATGACGCATGACACGATGCCTAAAGTTGTCCTCTCTTTTGATGCGGTATGTGTTACCTTGTCGGCAGCTGATCACTACAAAGGGGCCAGCCATCCCAACGGGGCTGGACTTTTCCTGGCGTTCCTGGCTTTTGTGCAATCTTCATAAACATCCGATTCCCCAGACGAAGAGCGACCATATTTGTCGTTTTTTTCTACTAGTATCCACTCTTTCCTGTTTGTCTTCTGTTCCCGTCTGACTGCCTCCTCGTGAGCTCTCACCAACGTTGTCACCAGGTTTCTGGCCCAAGACTGCTCTGTACCGAAACGGCTTGAAGAGCTTTCCTCCGTTCGAGCTATCTCAGGAGTGCGTGGGTCAAACTGGAGAAAAAAGAGACCTACCAGTGGCGTTGTGCGGAGCCGACATATACTGGAATCTAACAACACCTAGACACTTGTCCCACTCGCATCCCGACTCCTGCACATTGCGACGGATCAGGGCACCGATTGTCTGGTTCACCCTTGCCACGGCCCCATTCGACTGCGGATGGAATGCACTAACCTTTTTTTGCCTATGCCCATCGATTGTGCGAACACCGCCAGATGATGGTGGTTAAATTCCAAACCACGCTCTGTCAGCATGGATTCCCGGAGACCGTGACGGCACACGACACTCGATCAGCGAGCTGGCGACGGTTTCTGCCGATTTGTCTGGAATGGCGGTCAACTCGACACTTTTTGTCAGAAGGTCCAGTGCGACTAGAACGTACCGATTACCCCGTCCTGTGGTTTGCCGTCCGAACGGTCCCATCAGGTCAACAGCGACGTGCTGCCAAGCAGCTGTGGGCTGCGTCGTCATTTTCAACGGCGCCGTGAAACGACGCTGTGTGTTGTTTGAACGTGCACATACCAAACAGCTCCTACAGTAGTTCCTGACATCCTGCTCTATTTCCTACCAAATATATCCAGCCTGATTCAGCAGCTGACAAGTTTTTCCAGCACCGAAATGTCCGAACTCGTCATGTCTGAGGTTCAAAACACGCGGAATGAGACCTTTTGGGACCAAAGTGTACTTCTTCCCTACTTTTACGACGACTAACAGACTGCTGCCCTTATCAATGCCCGGTTAAAAACCACGCTGTCGCCACCGACGGCTGTGTGGATCCTGCACTCTGTTGAGACGTACCTCCATGCGCATTGCCCTGGACGCCTCGTCCTGCTCCTGAGCATCTCGCATTCCCACCTCGACCAGGTGGATCAGGTCGCGTGGCTGAGACTGTGGCGCTGGCTGCGCTGCGGAGATCATCACGCGAGACACGGGCTGACTTTGAACACTGAGTTACAAGCCGTCGCAGCTAAAATGTTCTTGCACCGGCAAACAATAGCCATCTGTTCAATTTACTTCCCTCCTGGGACCGCGTTTCCCTCCGTTGAGCTCAGAGGCCGGGTGGCACAGCTTCCGTTGCCCATCCGAATATTAGGTGACTTTGATGTCCAACACCCAACGTGGGCATATGTCCAGACGAACACCCACAGGAAGCGCTGTGGAACCTTCACACACGAAGAGTCGCTTTGTCACACGGGGACTCAAACTCATTTTTCACTCCCATCTGGAGAGGGACCAGCAATCGACCTTAGCCTTTCAAGCCCACAACTTATCAACCACTTAAGCTGATCGGTGTCGGACGATCCGCTGGGAAGCGATCACTTCCCCATACGGATCAGTTACAAAACTGACGTCCTACTTGGTTGTAGACGACGGGGGTGGAATTAGAAAAAAAAACTCACTGGGGTGAGTTGCAATCGCGGACCAAGCATTTCATGTCAAGGAAAGCTGTGGGTCGGTCTCCGTCGGCTGAGTTTTTAACTTCGCTGATTTTGAGGTCTGCAGAAAGATCTGCTCCACAAACGTCAGGCAATCCTTGCCAGCCTCCTGTCCTATGATGGACACAGCAATACCAGGACGCCATCTGCGCATGTAAGAGGGCCTTTAGAAAGTTTGAACGCCGTAGCACGGTAGAAAATCTGACCGCGTTCCGACCAGCACAGGGGCGACTATTAAACACACCATTCTTGAAGCAATGCGCACGTCATGGCGAACTTATGTCGGCCAACTGAACTGCCACAAACCTGCATCCAATGTATGGGCGCGAATCAAGCGTATCAGTGGACAGCTCTCAGCTACACCGCACCCTGTGCTGCACATTAATGGATGCGATATTCTGCAGCCATTCAAGGTTGCAAATGAGATCGCCCTCACGCTGTCCGAACGTTGCGCTATCAAAAATGCTGTTCCGCAGCTCACACGATACCTAACTCTCTGTGAGGTATCACCAATCTACTTCAGCACGGGTAAGCAGCTGCCGCACAACCGACCATTCACAAGATCTGAGCTGAAGTCCGCGTTCGGCTTGGTTCGTAATATGGCAGAGCATCCGGATTTAATCTACTATAACATGCTAGAGCAACTTTCCCAATCAGTTAGTGACGCCCTGTTGGCAACCTGTTCAACAGACTGAGTCCCCCGAGTCTTGGTGAGAATCCCACATTGTTCCCTGTTCAAGCCTGGCAAGGGTAGAGCCGACCCTACTGACTATCGCCCTCTATCGTTGACTTCATGCACATGTGATTTGATGGAACGTATGGTGATTGCTCGCCTGCCATGGTTTTAGGAACGCTGTAACGTCTTTACGTCTGCTCACTTAGGGTTCAGGAAAAATCACAGCTACTTGATCATCTTATAACATTAGACACAAACAATTGCACGAGTTTAAGAAAGAAGCGACACGTCGGTGTCATATTATTTGACGTCAAAAAGGTCCACGATGCGACGTGGCGATTTGACACCATGCAGAGACTTTTTAATTACTGTGTTCGAGGAGCTGTGGCCATGTTCTGGACAAACTGTTCATCAAATCGATTTTGCAGGGGTCGTGTTGGTGCACATTTTTCTGGTAGATACCAGCAAAAAACGGCGCGCCCCAGGGCAGTGTTCTTAGTGCGGCCTTGTTCGCGGTCACGATCGTTGTTATCAGGGACTTCCTTCCTCGGTCTGTCGGTTGCTCTCTCTTCGTTGATGATGTTGCCATCTGGTACTCTTCGTCGAACTCTGCGTCTTGGGAGTGCCGATTGAAGCTGGCCTAAGGCAATTTAGAAAGATGGAGGATGCTTAACGGCCTTCGTTTCTCATAATTCAAAACAGTTGCCATACACTTCTGCAGATGTAGCCGTCAGTGTCCGGCGATGGGTTTAAGGCTGTACGGGAGACGATTCCAAACGACTCGGCTGTCCGTTTCCTGAGCATGGTTTTGACAATCGTCCGACGTATTGGGCGCATTTAAAACTCCTACGCGACAAACGCTTTAAAGCGTTCAACATTCTAAACTGTGTTTCTAGGACCTCATGCGGGTCAGACAGAAGAGTACTCTTACTCCTGTACCGTTCATTCTTACGTTCTAAACTCGATTACGGATGTCTTATTTATGACCAAGAACCTCATTCTTACAAACGCTTTTTGGACACAATGCCTGACATTGCATTACGCATTGTGACAGA